ATGTATCGTATCGCCAAATTCTTGCCAATACACAGCCCTAGAGAAGACGTATTTTACTAACACTGTGTGAAGTAGCACTGTGTGTGTACCCTCGTGTGATCTTCCACTTGTCTTGTAGTTGCCTGGAAGACTAATTTGGAGGAGTGGAGCCCGGAGGATTGGAGTGAGGATGTTAGTGTGCGTCAGTACATTACAACACAAATTGTTGGTTTTTTTTTGGCTACATGTTTATGTTTTTGGTCTAATAATTTTACCTCATGTCTTTATGCAGCTCTCTGAGACTAAAGTGTTCACCCCCTCATGTGCACCTGCTGCCGAGAACCATATCACACCTGGGCAAAGGTACGTATCGTCTTATCAGTAAGTAAAAAAAAAAACATATATCTATATATAGGCATGTCATAGGGCTGTGTGGTATATGTGATAGACGGTAGAAACGATATGAAGTTGGCCTACGGTAGAAATTTACCCTCTACCGTCCTTTCGTCAGTTACGTCATCACACCTGTGTCAACAGGGCTGTGAGTGCAGAGACAACGGAGCAGGAGGAGTTTGAAATATTCTGAAAATAAATGAAGAAATACTACATTTTCAAACACGTATAGAAAGAATAAACYCTCAAAATTTCCCCCTCCCGATCTAGAAAAGTTATGCCGTGCCTTCGTGTCCCCGCTGCTACACGTCACRCAGAGAGAAGTTTTAACAACCGTAGTTTTTTCCACACCCAAGTTGTCRGAGAAAAAWTTGWTTTTTATGTATTGTTACCCACAGAGATGATAAAGATTTGGACRTTCGTTCAGTCATAAATCCATCTTGCTAATGTAAAGTCGGTTTCTGCTCTGATGATGAAGACGATAAAGATGAGAGCACAGCAGARCAGCAGCGGGTCAGTTCAGCAGGCAGAAGCTCATTGTATGGCAGGCTGACATTACATTTATTTGGCTTCATCACACTTACATTCCAGTTATCTGAAATTGTTTTATGACAGGACTATGTGCAGTTTAAGCCCCTTCAGGTCTGGTCACACTATAACATTTAAGGCAACTTGTGCCAACTTAGAATTTTTTTATGTCTAAATGACTAATTTTACTTGAAGTACTGGTTATAACATCCACTTTATTTTGTTATTGTTGAAAATTTGAGGAATGTTTTTGTTTGTTGTTGAAACCGTTTTGCAATATATAGAAAACATTCTTCTGTACTTCTGTTATGTTCATTTGCACTACAGCAAAAATGATGGGTTTGATGATTACAGGTTTCTGCTAAATAAATGCTCTAAAAATTACATTATCTTTGCTTTTTATGRTAATTTTCTACCACGATATATACCGTTACCTTGAAGAGATTCAATTTATACCGTGATATGAATTTGAGGTCATACCGCCCAGCCCTATCCTGTCACAATAACAAATTTGTCAATAAATGATAACATTTTTTGGAGACCATTTTAAACTAATATAGTGAATCCCTGTCCCCCTTCTTTTTTAAAATTTTTATTTATAAATTTTTTTGTTGTTTGTAAAATTTACATGATGTAACTCTCTGCGAACCCAAGGTTTGTGTCCTGAGGCGTTGCCAGCTGACAGAAGGCATTGAAACACTGAAGATGCCCTCTCTAAATGCTGTTCATGAGACTCTCATGCTTCAGAGGTTATGGGATCACTCATCTTTATTTTTTTTTATTTTTTTGCTGTTAGTCTGGACCTCGCCTCTTTGCTGCAGAAGCCTGGTGTTGGAGGAAGAGAGCCACCTACCTCGACTTCCACGCAGAGTCTGGTCTTCACCAACTCCCACCATCACCAGCAGCCACCCCCGAGCCGCAGCTCGACGAGCAGCTCAAGCTACGCACATGCTGCTCTGGTAAAAACAGCCTTCACACTCGCCACTCAGTGTAGATACAGTCAGAGGCTGACAGCTTCACTCGCTCTCTTTAATACCAGTCGTCAGTTTTGGGAGCTGGTTTTGGGGATTTGGGCCAGGCCAAGAGAACTCAGCCCAGTGCCGGAGCCCAGATACTGGAACAGCTTAAAAGTCCCGGCTTGGGCCAGCTGCCCTCGTCACAGGCGGCTCCTCCTGTCAGCACCCAAGGAAGCAACACCTCCATCGGTCGACTGCCAGGTCTGGGAGCACCTGTACCTCCACCCTCCTCCTCCAGCTGGGACATGAAGGCGTCRGAATCGAACGCCGCCTCTCTGTCTTCACAGTTCAGCCGTAGGTGGATCAGTCACAGCGTGGTCTAGTTTAAATTTAAGTGAGCGTGCGAACAATTTAATTCTCGCGCATCTGCGTTTTGTTGGGTGTTTTGCAGGTGAGTTTGGCCTGCAACCAGAGCCTTCTCTTGTGCTGAGTCAGCTCGTTCAGAGACACTCCGGCCCCTCTTTGCCCATGGCCCGTCAGCCCAGTCCTCCGACACAACAACAAGCACCCGCTGCTTCGGCGCCGTCTGCTCCCCAGCACATCAGCTCGTCAGCACAGGCCGCTCCCACGCTGGCCKCTGCAAAACCTGCTGCTCCCGGTGCAGGGCCGGACCCCCAGGGCAGCGGCCCGCCACAGCAACAACGAGCGCAGCTCAAAGGTCCAAAACGACGGATACCTCCCACATCGAAGGTAAGGAATACATATAAAGTTACGCTGAGGTTGACTACCTGTTAAATCAGTGTTCCTGCAGATCCTTAAAAAGTCTTAAAAGGCANTGAATTCTAAAATACTAATTCCAAACTAAATTTTACCAGCTCAGAAACCAATTATCTTCAATGCGTACATCACTTGACAGTGTTGCTCCTCTGAAAAAGAAACTGCCTTTTTTATTTAGAGCTGCACAAATCAAAGCAAGCTTTATGACAATAAAGGAAAAAAAGGGTGTTCCTCTAATTTAGAAGGGTTTCATTAAACTTAGAGAAAATATATTTTGAACAGAATAAAATTTTATGTAGAATAGAAATAGCCATTATTCAGGGTTCCTGCAGATCCTTAAAAAGTTGTCATTGAATTCATCCGTCCAAAAGTAAGGCCTTAATTAGCCTTAAAATGTCTTAAATCAATCTTTCAGAAGTCTTAAAAATGTTAACACATTGTACATAGGATGATTATAATTCATCTCAAATATTAAAATAATTGGTTTAAGTATTTTTTTAAATATTTACATGCAGACATTCCCCTTTGACATCACTTCCTGTTATTTCACATGCAAATATCTCAACTTTCCATTCTGAGCAATGTGAAATTTGTTTTGTAATATGTTAATGTTGTTTTTCCAAAAATACATTCACTTTTCTTACAAAAAACTGATGTCTCAGGCACTTTAAGGTTTTATCTACAGCAAATTGGGGTTGAGACCCCACTGTGGGTCCTAAAACTCCAAATGTTGGATCGTTAGAGGATTTCCAGAAATTAAATTTAGTTTAAAACTGACTAAGAATGTTTCTGCTAAAGTTATATATGGATAAAAACAAATGGTCTATCAGCAGTATTTTAATACTTTTTTGTCATTTGTGTTTATTATGAAATTGGTCTTGAATTTAATTTCACTTGGCATTAAAAAATCTTAAAAGGTCTTACATTTAACGTGCTTTAAACTGTAGGAACCCTGTAAATGTTATACTATTTATTTAAAAAAAAACATCTATGTTTTTTGTCAGATTCCCTCCACAGCAGTGGAGATGCCGGGCTCAGCTGACGTTCCTGGACTAAACCTCCAGTTCGGAGCGCTGGACTTCGGCTCAGAGTCAGCTCTGCCAGAATTCGGAGTTGTGGACAATTGTGCAGGTGCAGCGTCCCGGGAGTCCACACCTGCACCTGCTTCAGCACCACCTGCATCAGGACTAGGGACTCAGAGCCACACAAGCCTGTACTCAAAACCTCTCAGGTACGGCTCCTGCTTGGGACCAGCTCCATCTTAAAGAAGAGGAAAACCAGTTTAATTCAAACTGGTGTCTTCACAAGGGAAGAAATAAATTAACCTAATGTGTATGAATATACTGTACTTCTAGTTATGCAGTTTATGTGCATTAGTTTTGTTAGAGTTCGGTGAGAAAAATGCTACAATTTAATTTCCATTTGCTTTAGTTTCGTTTTCATTTGTTGGAAAAAAAAAGCAGAACTGAGTCTCGYGAGGTTTTCAGCTAAAAACAAGTTGTTACTGAAGTGGAAGTGAAAACCCGTTTTTAAAGCAAGTGTTAAAGTTCAGTCATTTTATTGCTGATAGATTTCCCTCAGAGCAGTTGTCTTATAAACAATGACATAAATTACTGATAAAATGTWAATACACTGCAGCTTCTTTCCTGCTTGACATTTTGTTTTTGTGTCGATTTGCCTGTTTTTATATGTAGCTGTCGCATTATTTGCTGCAGAGCATCGTCGCCATTGTTGAWGTGTTGCATTTAGAGCAGTGCTTCTCAAATACTCACTTGTTCAGTGACAGACATTTAACTGAGATGTTAACTTTAACAGCGCTTTAAAATTGAGTAGGTTTTGTCTTCTCCTCAACCATCTGCTCTCTCCTCTGCCCCCCTGGTGTTTCGTAGCGAGTCGCTGGGCGGCGCTCTCTCCGTGGCTCTGCCTTCGCCCCTCACCTCGTCAGAGCCGGCATATCACTCCACCGCCGTGGCCATGCCCAGCCTCACGCCATCGCTAGGCTCTGTGGGCTCCACCAACCCCCCCTCCTCCACTCTACCGACMTCGACGACCTCCGCATCCTCCGCACCGTCCTCCTCATCCTTCGCCACAGTTGGGGGGAGTTATGACGGGACGATGCCCCCTCACTCGCGATTGGCCTTTTCTCAGAGCAAAGAGGCCGCGGGGCCAGTAATGGTAAAATTTATTTAAGTGGGGGTTTTATCTTTCCTGTAAAAGTTTAATTTTAAATCAAAAGAGAGGAACTTTTCAATTGTTTTTGGGGTGCATAGAGTTTGCTTTCTTATAGCTAAAAACTATGTTTCTGAATCTTTAGGTGAAACATTTAAAATAAATGCAGTTCATTGGTTATTAACTGTTCTGTACTGACAAGCTTATAGGCCTTTACGTTTTTTAGTTTAATAGTTTATTCATTTCGATTAAAAACAAATTTTAATACAACGAAAAAAGTAACCCAAATCTCATAAAATGAAAGGAAGCAGAAGAAGAAAAAACTTGTATCTGCCTCTATTTAACAAAAAAGAATAATAAAATTTTAAAATATACACATTTATATGTGTACACATACATACACATATTCATATATACATAGTATATACATATACACAAACATATAGATACACATGCACATATATAATTTTACACCCTCATCAGCACAACAAAAAAAAATTAGATTAACCCCTCAAACATCAGCTTCATACCTTTTCAACAGTTTAACTTTTATCATTTTACCAAATAAATTAATCGAGTCAGCATTTTTATAATCGCTATCCAAGTTATTCCACGATCTTATTCCTTGAGGTACATCTATCCGTAAAGTTTATTCGAATTTTAGGTTTTATAAACATTTCAAATCCTTTCAAATTACAACAACTTTCCCTCTTAACAAAATTAGATTGAATATTCAAAGGCAATACATTTTCATGAGCCCTAAGCATAATCAAAAAATCTTATAATCAACC